TAAAGAAGAAAACAACAGTATCAACCTAAAAAAGGACACCGAGCGTCTTGACGGTTCTTATTTTGATATTTTAAAAAATTGTCTACGTCATCTTAAAAATTGGGTATATATACAGCGCGCCAACATTGCGAGATACAGATATCGAATTGTTTTTAAAAAGTACACATTGTGATTATGTTATTCAAAAAGAAATAATTTTTTAAAAAAGTGTTATGTTTGTGACAAAAAAGTAAGTTAATACTATTTATTAAAAATCTAAAATGTAATATTTGAGCGGATATATTAATTGGTTCACAGTGTCGTCACATAATATAACAGCATGACATACATAAATCTGACGCTCTAACTCAAGCCAACAAACATGAATTTTGTACTGCGTTCGTCATATGATAATCTCATAAATGTTGTATTTATAATAAGGTCGATATGACTAAATTAATTTTTTGACATATTAGCATGATATTGAAAAAGACTGTCGTACAGTCGAAACGTTTATCTTATCTTTTGTATATTATGACGTAAATTAATAATAAAAATTTTTGAATTAATATCTTATAAGCTCGTTAAGTTGGCCTTTTATTATATCACATATTTTAATTGTATACAAGCCAAAGTTTAATTTATAAAATATATATATGAAATAAAAAATTTTGTTAGCCATAAAAGTTCAACAGTTCTGTTAGGTTATAGCTACAGTTTACAAAATGATTTTTACTCTAAGCCATGTAATTCATCTTTGTTTGACATACAGTATATAAAAAAAAATAATAATTTACTTGAAATGTGGTCCATTAATGACATTAATAGGAAATTAATAGTTCTACCATTTAGAGGTCAATACGTTTCTTTCCCACTATTACACTTATAAGCAAAATTTGAAATTATTAAAAAAATTTTTAAACTGTAATTGTTAAATTAGTTTCATGTAATTAAAAATTACATTTTAATTTGTAATTAAATTCAATTATATTTGCAACTCTTAAGAATGTTTTAAATCAAAATGACGTTTGTTCACCATTTCCAATAAAGACAATTTAAATAGTGTTAATGATTTTTTATGAATATAAAGAATATTATAAAGAAAACAAAACTATATTTTTCAGTTTAATTTGTAGCTTTTAATTTTAAGCATTTTTATATAGTGTAAGCTTTTATGGGTTTTTATAATTGTTCGAGATTCGAACGGTAATAACCCGCGGACAAGAAAGCGTTAAAATATTCATGCATCTCGATCAGGCCTCATGCAGCATGCATATAATTTATTAATTAATATCGTGGTTTAACATGCGTATTTTAAATTATATTTAAAATAGCGCTCGGCCGCAAGAGTATACGGATACTCCGCGCCTTCGAAAATAAGCGCTTACAACATTCTAAATTGTAAACACCGCTGTCGCGCGAGAGGAGAGAAAAACAAGTAAATAATTACAGTAAACGTTCCTTCGCCCTTAATATCACAATAGAACGATAGCAAATGTACTCGAATATTCTAGAATTACAAGGCCTATATAAGCCTCCTCTCTCGCGACCGCGGGGCTCTTTCCGATTGCTCGTCGCGAATAGAGTGTGCTTCTACTTTCCGAAAAAGATCGCTTGTCTTTTTCGGTTTTCTCGTCTAATTACCGTTGCTTGCGGAACAGTCAGTAATTTATTTTCGACCCGGTTTTTCTCTCGTTTATTGCATTCATTTCTAATACATACGACTCGGCTATCTTTTGGTAATTTCTGTGCGGTAAAACAATTGTAAATTTTGTTAGTAGTTGAAATATATTTTTGGTTAACGATACGCGTGTGTCGAGTGTAGTGCCTATCTATCGTCTCGCTTCCGACCGTCCTTTCCGCTATCCGTTGTGCACAATAATGAAAGTATTCCGTTCAAAAACTTGTCTCATACATTTTTCTATATAAAAATTAATTAAACATGCATTTTATTCAGATTGCGCTTCATGAAAAATCTTATATAATCATGTCTATAATTATATTTTCGTTTAAATGCAATTTTACAGAAAATTTACCAAAGTTTATTAATAAAGAGATGTTACTAATTCTTTTCCACTCATAAAATTTAATGTCAAAATAGATTAGGCAAGTTTTGGAACAGATTGCTTAAATATTATATTGATATATAATATATATAATATTACATAGATTTTATATATAATAAAATATTAGTAGTATTCCCAGGTAGGGAATCGCGTAATTTGATGTCAAAATGACCTCATTTGACGTTAGAATAAGATCATTTGACATCAAAATAATGTATGTTGCTATTTGGGCTATAGATTATAAATAGAATATGCTAAAAATTATCGTATTTTTTGTTTCTGAAAACGCGTTACTTTTTCTATATTATAAATATTAATTTTGATTTTTATACAATTACTGTTTCCATATATATCCATACATATAATTTTTGTTTTTTTAATTGGTAACGCAAAATTTTTTGTTTTATATATAGGTACTTCAAATTAAAGTTTATAAAAAATGCTAAATCTAATACTAATATTCTAATACACATAAAATTTTTGTAGCTATTTGATTTATTTATAAAATATTAGTTAAGGCTTAATTAAACCATATTATAAAATATGACGTCAGAGGCAAGAAATTATATGAAGCTGTTCTTGCAAATTATATCGAAATAAATAAGATTATTCGAGCAATAATATGAATTAATAAAATCCGTCGAATACTTTTTTTACTTCGTAAATCTGCAAGTAGCTGTAAATAATCTTGCTCAATCATGTCCACGTTTACTGAAAATGTAGGACATATGCAAACAATGAGTTATACGCATATTTATTAACAAATAGGGAGTTTGACGGATTTTACTAATTCATATTATCAAACACAATAATTACATTCAAAAACTTATTTTTGCGATATATATTATATAAAAAAGAAACTTCATGTTATTTCTTGCTTCTGACATCATAATTCAATATAGCTGTAATGAGGGATCAGTAGATGAAACGTACGCAGTAGAAAAAATTGAAACAATTTTGTCTTAAACACAAAATTGTTTCAATTTTTTTACAGGATATTTTATGTATTAATTATTAATAGTATTAATATTATACAAACATTTTGATCTGTTTATTTTTTCAAATAGATAAAGTACTTTTTAAAACAAGCTTCTTAATAAATTGTAATTTAACGTACTTATATTTTTTAAGTTTCTTATTTATGGAATACTGTGATCAAAGAAATAATGTTTAATTTCTTGTTTAAAATATTTCAAAGTTTAATTTTAATATATTCCCAGACAGCACAATAACGTTTTAAAAACGTACTAAATATATATATATTGGACGTTTCGTACATATTTAAAACATCCAGATTACAGCCTCAGACATTTTTAAGACATTTTAAATATGTCCAGTGTTACTGATTTGGACAATTAAAAAATGTCCATTTTATATACCAAACGGACTAAAATTGGACCTGTTTCGAACATTATTTAAATTTTTTATAGTAGGTTTAACAGCACATATATTCAAAAGACGTTCAGAGGACATCCAAAGGACATTCAAACATCCTCTGGATGTCCTCTGAACATCTTTTGGATATATTGTGCTCTAGGTAGGTGTAGGTAAAATATTGTTTATTTTTAACGCAAATTGGAGTTAACTTGTTAGCAACTTATTAATATAGTATAAAATATATATACAAATATTGTAATTGCTAACAAATTAAATTCCTAATGTAGCATTAAAATTAAACTTTAAGAAAAAGAACAAATTTAATATTCTTTTAAATATATATTAAATTTTATTATTTATTATATATTTTTATCATGTCTCATATAATTTTAATATTGTTTTAACATTTTTAAATTATAAATAAAATAATATTTATTGCGGAAAAAGAAAACGAATTTTGTTTCTTTCAAAAAGTAATGTACATGACAAACATTTTGTACTGGAAAGAGAGGAATCTTGTTTTTTTATAAGGTCTACAATAGGTAATTTATACTCTAAGCTTTAAGAAACTGACTAATCACAGTCAAGTATTCCATTCATACTTGACTGTAATCAATTTCTTAAAGTTTAGGGCATAAATTACCTATTGTAGAACCGGTCTAACACTTAATCATAATTAACAAAAATAATTATATATGATATATTACTTTCTTTAAAAGTACTTATACATTTTATGATATATTACTTTCTTTAAAAGTATTTATAGTGAAAAAATAATATGATTATTGTTCATCTCACACAAAAAGTAATAAAGTATAACAAAACATTTTGTACTAGAAAGAAAGAAATCGTTTGTGTGCTCCTATAACATTCAGTCAATGAACAAAAATAATTATAACATTTTTATATGATATATTATGTTCTCAAAAATAATGCAATATTTCGTATTAGAAAGAAAGAAAAAGAGAAGGGAAGAAAGAGAGAGAAAGGGAGAGAGGAGAGAGGGAGAGAAAGATAGAGGAAAAGAGAGAGGGAGAGGGAGAGAAGGAAAAGGACGAAGAAGAGGAAGAGGAACAGAGAGGGAAAGGAAGGAAGGGAAAGGGATAGGAAAGGGATGGGAAGGGAAAGAGAAAGAAAAGGAGGGAAAAGGAGAGAGAGGAAAGGGAAGGGAGAGGGAAAGGCAGAGGAAGGGAGGAAGAGGAAAGGCAGAGGAAAACGAGGAAGAGGGAAAGGGAGGGGGAGGGAGGGAGAGGAGGGAGAGGAGGAGAGGGAGAGGAGAGAGGAGAGAAGGAGAGGAGAGGGGAAGAGGAGAGGAGAGGAGAGAGAGAGAGAGAGGAGAGAGGAAAAAGGGGAAAGGAGAGGAGAGAAGGAGGAGGGAGGGGGGAGAGGAGAGAGAGAGGAGAGAGAGGAGAGAGGAAGGAGAAAAGAGGGGGAGAGGAGAGGAGGGAGGGAGGGAGGAGGAGGAGGAGGAGGAGAGAGAGAGAGAGAGAGAGAGAGAGAGAGAGAGAGAGAGAGAGAGTATTTGCACTTTTTCTAAGATTATTCCACAAGGTTCGAATGGCACTAACAATTCATAGATCTCAATGATAGGCTGATTTCCTTTATATTTTTGATCATTGACTCTGCTAAACGAATGTCTTCCATTTCTTTTCCTTGTATAACACAGAGACGATACGGAGATTCTATATCATCTTTACTCATATTAATATGTGTGCCACTTTTATCTTGTATGTTTTTGATCACTGAACCACCTCTTCCTATTACAACAGCTGCATATTGCTTAGGCACTTTGTATTGTGGTAGTGCTGTATGGTGATCTGGATGTTACTATCCGACGAGATTTCGTATCATCATCATTATCATCTCTTGTCTCATCATCCTTTGCAAATACAGAATATAAGATGTATTTTAAATTTATTGTCTCAGTTTTCCTCTTTCAGCAGCTCTTCTCAACCATCCTTAAATATGTTTTCTGCTTCTTTAGTTGTTTGACAATATCCTCCTATTTTAGAGGCACCTATTTAACATAAAATGAAACAAAATTATTTAATTTATGCAATTTAAAAAAATAGGAAACATTTACATTTTTTTTTATATTTTTGTTTGAAATTTTTAGATAAACTTTTCTAGAATGTAATACTCACTTATTAAAACTTTGCAAATATTAAGGTTACAAAACGCTTTTTTCTTCTTTCGTCCAAAAAAAACTATATTATCCGCAATCTCATTTGTTAATATCATAGATAAACTATCATCATAGATATCTTCTAATAAATTCATATCCATTGTTCCCTCCTAATTGTTGCAACTCAGTCATCTAAAAAATAAAAATGAATGTTGTTTGTAAATTAAATATAATTTTAAAAGAATAACATTTTTCATAAAAAGCCTTAATCATTAGAAATAAGTTATAATAAATAAATAATTTATATTGTAGAAAAATTAAATTGTAGAAAAACTAAATTCACTAAAGTCGCTCAACAATAGAAAAAGTTATAAAATATACAATTAAGCTTTTATTATTTAATATTAGAAAATTTGTCATCTTGATATAGTATAAACAATGTATGTGTATAGTGGACGTAAAGAAATAATGTTACGCACCGTTAAACATCTAACACATTTTATTTAGTCTTTAAGTCATCGATACTCAAGTTGGTATTCAGCATTGAATGTAAGATAAAATATAATTATATATATAACAAACATATAATTATATTTTACTTTACATTCAATGTTGAGTATCAATTTGAGTATCGATGACTTCCAGACAAAATGAAATGTGTTAGATGTTAAACGTGGTGTAATATTATTTCTTTACTTCCACTATATGCATAACAGATAATTGGAAATTATATCTTACCTTATCTTCAATATTGAGTGCCAATGTGAAATGTCGACTTTCCCGAACACAATGATGTGTTAGATGTTTAATGTTATGTAAAGTCTGTTTATTCCTCTGCTTCCACTGTATACATAACAGATACTCTGAAATATAAAATTTGATTAAATTGCAAGAAAAAGATGTGATAGAAAAATGTATGTGTATAGTGGAAGTAAAGAAATAATGTTATGCAACATTAAACATCTAACACATTTTATTTAGTCTTAAAGTCATCGATACTCAAATTGGTACTCAACATTGAATGTGAGGTAAAATATAATTATATATATAATAAATATATAATTATATTTTACTTTACATTCAATGTTGAGTATCGACTTGAGTATCGATGACTTCAAGACTAATAAAATGTGTTAGATGTTTAACGGTGCGTAACATTATTTCTTTACGTCCACTATACACATACATTTTTTTATATTAAAGATCATATTAAAATCTTAATAAAGAAATAGTAAAATTATAATTAGCCATAAATTTTATAGGTACAAGGTACATAGAGGAAGTTATAACTTTGTTTTAATGGACTAAATTCACATAATTATAATATACTTTAATATAATATGTTATATAGATGTAATATATATTAAAAATATATAAATATATATATATATATATTCGTAAATACGTATATTGTTTTTATTGCAAGTACCTACATCTGTAAATACAATACAAGATATTTTAGTAATTAAATTTATGTACGGTGTATATTCGTGTATGGCATATTCTATGTATGTATAGTGATCTACAAACGATGTACATTGGATGTCTTTAATATGTACATATATAATGCACGTATATATATCCATACAATGTGCCTCATTTGTAAATCACTGTATATACATAGAATATCATTTATATACATAGAATATCATCTATAGATGTATATAGATGCAATTTATATACATTGGATATGAAAAAAATATTTAGTGTATATGTAAATTATCTGTCATATACTTTCCACGAATGTACATGGAATGTACCTATCTATATGCATATATATTGTATGGATATACAATGTATAAACAGAACATTAAATTTATATACAAATAGGATATCCAATGTACATTGTTTATACATCACTGTATATACATAGAATAAGTCATATTCACAGACGTATATGGAATACACATACATGAGATGTCCAATAAATATTTATTGTATATGAAGGAAGGTATCTGCTATATATATGTACTTCTCTGTATGTACATATACATAGAATATGCAGCAAATATACACATGTATATTACATGGACATACAGTGTACATACAGCGCGTTGCATTTGTACATACCTATGACATCCAGTGTATGTCATTTGTGTATCATTGTATGTCTATAGAATATGTGATATCCACTGATATATATGCAATGTATATTCATTGAATATCAAAATGTTTTCTGGGTGAGTCCTTATCAAGTGATCTAGATATACATAGAGAAGAAATACAGTACAGAGATTAATACAATAAAAAAAATTACTTCACTTAACAATATTACAAAATAATAAAAAGAAGCGAAACATACTTGTGAAAATAAAAATAAAATTATTATTTTAAGATGTCAAGAACAAACATAGTATTGGTTTGCCAACACGTCAAGACTCTTAGACAAGTTATAAGAGACAGTCTCTCATAACTCGTCTAAGAGTCTTAACGTGTTGGCAAACCGACACTATGTTTGTTCTTGACATCTTAAAATAATAATTTTATTTTTATTTTCACAAGTATGTTTCGCTTCTTTTTATTATTTTGTAATATTGTTAAGTGAAGTAATTTTTTTTATTGTATTAATCTTTGTACTGTATTTCTTCTCTTGACGTGTTGTCAAACCGACACTATATTCGTTCTTGACATCTTAAAATTATAATTTTATTTTTATTTTCACAAATCACTTGATAAGGACTCAAAGAAGGCTCGAAACGTTGTGATTTAATATATAATATTTGCCAGTAGGATCGAGAGAAGAGTTTTACTTTTTTAATATTTTAAAATATTGTGATTTATAAAAAATATATAAATATTTGAAAAATATAATATATGGTTGTACAGTAAATATGTTTTTATTTCATTTTATGATTTTTACTTAATTTAATGTTAAATAATTATTTAAAAATAAAATTATATTTAGGCCAACTAAGACGAGCAATAAAATCTTAGGATGTTATTTATTTATTTTGTACTTGTAAACATTAAAAAACCTTGTACTTATAAACATTAAAAAATTAAAGTTCTTATAAAATTAGATAAATATAAATATTCCAACGTATTGAGATATCACTTCTGACTTCTAATCATACACATAACTTCTTATACAATACGCGAACCTTTTTATTCATTTGACATTTTGTAAGTAATTTTATATCTTGAATTTCCATTATGTAAATAACTTGAATTCACAAATTTCTATTATGTACATAATTTCTAGTAATTTTATCTTTTTTAATTGCTTCGTTTCCTAACTTATTAAGATCATTAATATCTAAAAATTCCCACAGCATAATTGTATCCATCCATTCAGTTACCAAATCTTGGAAACATATAATTTTTTATCAAAAAATAGTTGACTAGATAAGCAATTCGGCTACATATTTTTTGCTTATAAACGACGAATTTTTTGTTAATAATTGATCACGTAAACTTATTGTCTAGTGACCAATTATTTGACCTCTTATTTACAATTGCTTTCGTGCGTTTTTTATAATATTAGTGATTTATAATTTTTTATTTCATAATTAAAATGTTTTATAATTGCGACATAACAACCGTTAATATTTGCGATTTGTTAATATATTTTATTGCCGTCCGTTTTATACAATCTACTCTAATATTTATATATCATAATTCTTTGTCCCACAATTGACAGGAATATGGACTTTACCGCTCTTATTTGCGCATTGTTTATTTAGTTTTTATTTTGTATATTAATTTTGTGATTTTATTTGGTATTATCATTATTTATTTTTATTACTAGATAACACAAGCGCGCGCTTCGCGCGCACCAAACAAGTTTTTGCTCCGCGAGTGTACAAATTTTAATTAGTTGAATTTCAATTATATACATAACTGTAATTTCCGAATTTCTATTATGCACATAATTTTAATTCGCCGTATTTCTATTATGTAAATAACTGAACTTGTACTTAACAGAAATTCGACAAATAAAAATTATATACATAATAATAGTATAGTGGCAGGTATGGCCCGTCAAAACAAACCCCCACCACCGGCCCCTCTGGCGCCGTGGCTTATTTTCCCCCACCACCAGCGTCTGGTTTTTCCGAGTGCGGGTGTTGGGGGAAAAAAAATGGCGACTGGCCCCAAAAGGTGGGGATGAGAATTTTTTTATTTTTTCTGATTTCCTCTGGATTTGAATCCGGGATCTTCGCGTTTCCGAGCAGGGTCCTAGTATGTTGAACTAAACGAGATCTTACTAGTCTAAGGATTAGATGAGGCATTTAAGTTGCGTAGAGTACGGGGTATATGGGGGTTCGGGTATACGTATGGCAAGGATAGCTCGTCGAATCAAATGGTCGATATTGGACGAGGTGGGGTAAAAACAGTTTGACCAAGAAAAGTGTCATGCGGTCAACCGAAGATCGATGGCAGGTAGGGGCTGACGATACCGTAGGGTAATAAAAAAAAAGAACACGTAAATATTTGTACAGGCGAGCATTCTGACTCGTGTCGATAAAAAATAATACATCGTTGTAAATTAGAAAGAATGCTTATTGTTGAAAAGATGTCAGATAAAATTTTATTTAAAATATTGCGCGGCTTAAGGGGATCCTAAATGATGTTTTTACCGACCGAATGCGAGAATATTTATTTTTTTCATATAACTTTTTATTGACTATACTGATCAATAAATCCTTTTCCACGATTAAAGTACTTATAAAAACGGACCGCGCTAGCTATGTTTGCATATATAAATCATATAAAAATCAAAAATTACAGTTTTGTTATCGGCTGCTTTGTGTCAGTTCGTAATAATACTTATTTAATAAAAAAAGTTTTGCAGTTTGTCTGTGCATGAAATATAGTATGCGCGGTAAGGATTATATGAAGAAATATTAGTAAGCAATTAAAAGTGAGATTGCAAGTCTAATAAAAAAGTTATATATAAAAAAACATTTCACGCATATGTGTGTGTGCAAATCGAGGCTGCGGAATAAAACAGAGCAGTAGATTAGTTGCGTGATATCGTGATAGATGGAGCTGCAACGTGTTTCTCTCTCTCTCTCTCTTTCTTTCGCTCTCTCTCTTTCTGTTTTTTATAAGGTCTGTTCGTTTTGGCTACACTGGCCACATTAGTTCAGAGGTTGTCTTTTTTGTTCGACATTGGAAGGAAAAAGATAACCTCTGAATTAGTGTAGCCAATGTATGCCATTATATATTTTATGTTTGATAATATAAATAATACATCAATTTTTTTCTATAAAAAACTATATATAAAACAGAAAAAATTTTGTGTTATTTATATTATCAAACACATGAAATATATAATGACATACAATTTTATTTTAATTATATTTGTATAATACAATAATATTCACATGATTTTTATAGATAATAAGTATATGCATTTATAATTTATAAAAACTAAATCTTATTTTTCATACATCGAAGTAATTCGAGTAATGATTTTACTGAAATATATATTTGATAGACATTGTGATTCTAACGAATTTTATTTGTTCGCATATACCTGTAAATTGTTATAAAAATTACTTTTACTGTAAATGTAAGATAAATTGTATGCAATCTATAAAAAAAAGAGAGAGAGACAGAGAGAGAGAGAGAGAGAGAGAGAGAGAGAGAGCGAGCTTTTTTTCTTTCCCGAAAATAGAGACATTCAATGCAAACGGTGAATTGTATATCTCTTTACGACACGTACAGCCGAGGAAAAATTTTTATATATAATTATATAAAATAATTGTATAATTATACATATAATTTTGCGATTATATATGTATAAAATTATACAATTATTTTAATATAATTATATATAAAAAATTTTTTCCCGGGTTGTATGTGTCGTAAAGAAATATATGTATAATTGATCGTTTGCATTGAATGTCACTATTTTTTGAAAAGTAAAAAAAGAGAGCTCTCTCTCTCTCTCTCTCTCTCTCTCTTTCTTGATCCTTT